GCAGCAACACCGCGCTGAAGCATGCTGTCTGTGCTGGGTGCGATCTACTCACGGCTACTCGGTGTACGGCGGTTTCTTCTTCTGGTCTCACTCGCATGCGTGCTGCTTCCCAGAGCAACAGCCGCCGTGAATAAGTTGGGGATTTCAACTTTAGCTGGAGGCGGCAACGGTGACGTCTCCTCAGAAGTCTTGAGTGTAGCGGTTTAAGCATGTTGTGAGCACTGCATGCTAAAAGTGGTGAAACATATTAAATGTGTTATTCCAATTTACAGATAACCATATGTGTGTCAGAAAACAAGACCAAGTGTACCGACGTGCCAACAGTGAGATGCTAACAGCTGCTTGCTAACATGCTTGCAATGTCAGTGCTAACATGCTAAAGTCGCTACCATGTTACCCGGCGCTCCACATCCCATTCTTTTCTTTTTTTCATTTCAGTATGCACTAAAGTTGCTCTTACAAAGTATGTACTCTACACATTAAGCACATTTGACAACTGTTTAATAACTATTTCTGCTACTATTTGAATGCATACTTAATCGTAATTGGAACATGTTTGCATGCTAACTTGCTGCTTTTAGTAAACTTGTGTTTTGGACTTTATGTTGTGCAAAAAAGCAACACATGATGTTGTCATCTCACCTTTTTCCACTACATTTCTACCTAGTCAAATTACATTTTACACAGTGAAGAATCACTGAAGATAAGTGCTATTTGTTGTCCAGTGTTTGATTGAAAACAAATTATGCTGTAACTTAAATCTTACAAATTTAATGATTTAAATTTTAGTTTTCTATATGTAGAGTTGTGTTAATTTTATGCGTAACTTAGACATTCTGTAATTCATTTACTGCTACTAACTATGAAAATAGCCGCTGCTTAACTAATGAGAACTCAAAAGGGAGCGGTATGCTAGCAGCTTTGTGAGGCTGACACTGTGGTGTTTTAAGCTAAATGCTAACAGCATGCTAACAATGCTAATAGTAATATGCTACTTTTTAAGTAGGTATAATGTTTACCATGGTCACAATCTTAAGTTTTAGCATGTAGCTATGCTAACATTTGCTAGTTAGCATAGCCAAGGGTGGGGACATAAAAACATGTCTGCATGTTAATGTGAAATACTATCATTTATTCTAAGGTTTGCGCTTTTACAGCATCAATAATGGATATACAACCAAACAACGTTACATTAGCTGATACATGGTCGTCATTCGATCCTAATGTCAGGTCCATATTGGCAGCAAGTCCATCACAACAAACACTGTTATTGCAGGTGCAGTTGTTCACCTTCGTCATCAGTGTTTTTTCCAGACCCTCCAACAGACACGTTCACTGTTTGACAGAACTGCTGAGTAGAAATGACGCAGCGTGCCACAGAGCCGTCGCCAAACCCCTCCAGCTCTCAGAGTGAGCGATGAGTTTGTCATGACAGTGTCAGATACATGCCGCTTCAAGCTACGTTCTTTTAAGCAGTATTTTCTTTGGAAGTGCCTGAATTGATGTTCGGCAGGGAGATCATGTTAGTGCAAGTCAGGGGTAGGAGCGTGTGCTGTGACTCAGGGAGGTGGAGGCAGGAGAGCGCTGCTGGCACAATCCAGGGGAAACAGGAGATAGGTGAAGGAGTCGAATGACTGCCGAAGCGGAGAGCATGAAGACACGGTGGCAGGGCTGACGTGGCTCTGCAGACCGCGGTATTAACATCCTGATGACTGCTTCCAAATGTCCTATTCAGCATGTTTTTTTGTTTTTCTCTTTCACGACCAGACCGATGGTGCGCTCATTTTCCTGCTGATGAGACTTCCAAATATCGACAGAAACAGTACGAACTGTGGAAAATACCGACCAAAGTTATGCAGAGGACGGTGTTGTAACCGCTGAAGGGAATGCTGATGGAAATTTTTCAAAACCAGCCTCTGCAACCACTTCATAGAGATGCTTATGGTGGAAAAGAAATAATGCAAACAAGCAAACTCTTGCATGTCGACTGATCACGAAGGCATGCAGGTTTTATTGTACCAATATAAAGATCAGTTACAGTGGTGTTTGGCACTGGCACGGCACTTAATAACACAAGCATCAAGGCTTTTTGGATAGAAGTTTTTACAATGGGATTCAAGTCTGCAACCAAGCAGTTAGTGAGGATTCTTACATAGACTGGCCATGCCGAGACCTGTTTCCATGTTTGGGTGGAATACAACTCGAAGCCTTTAGATGCTTTTTGTATTTTTTTTTTGTTGTTGTTTTGCCAACTTTATCAAAAGTAGGTGTTGTAGAAATGCTTATGAGCAGTCAGGTGAGGGAGTTGTTCATGTTGATGTCTCTCAGTTACCTGTTGTACAGACATAGGACAGGATCATTTGCACGTTTTTGTGTGTTGCATTAATGAACGTATCTCATCAAAACTTGTTTCATAGTACCGCGTGTTTTCCCTGTGTATGTATTAGTTACCTCCGCCTGTCCTAAGAAGTGCATTTTAGGTTAAATGGTGACTTTTAAACGGTAATAAACGGTCATTCTGTCAACCACTTGCCCAGGTCTGCAGAGGGTCAGCTGGTATGGATCATGAAGGTATAGACGGATACATTTATTGACTGAAATATTTTGTGTCAACTACATACAAGATAAAATAAATACCAAGAAATATATTCAAGTCAAAACTAGCGTGTTACATCTGCAGTGGCATCTCATCGTCATTTTGTTCTTCTGTCGCTGCTGGGCTGCACGTTCACACCACTGGTCCAACAAACACCTGTTTTCCATCCGTTTTGTCTTTGCCCACAGTTTGTGATGCAATCAGGTGTTTTCTTCCCAGGCTGTCAGTGGATGTCTGTCCATAATAAAAGGGCATCTGGCTCTGTTGTACATCACCCCAACCCTCCTGCGTGATGGAGAAGTTTCCGTCTTTACCTCAGGCCTCATGACGGCAGGCAGGGATCTTATCTCTGGCCGGACCGGAAGACCTTTTCCCTTGTAATCTCAGCCAGACACAATGGAGCTATATTGAGAAAGCCATAAACAAGCGATTGCTTATCTGTTATCGAGCTCCTGGCACATGAAAGGACTGAATTAGTTATGTGCATTATGCGCTGTGACATTTCAGACCAGATAGTAAGTGGATGTGACTGATATTACCATAGAGACCCTTTGTGTTTGTTGCTTTGAGCTGTGTCATGTAAGTGAGTCGAGGCCTGATCAGTGTGAGGAGCAGCAGGGTTAGTTTTAACTGATGACAGAAAATGCAACTTGGGCAACTTAAACATGCTATAACAAATTGTTATTATTATTCTTGCCACTTTGGGCACCAGTAAGAAGCTGTAAACAGCAAAACATGTTTTTATTTGCTCAGTTGCGTAACCACCAAGCAGCAACATCCAGAGCTAAAAATAATTTCCAAAAACTGCAGTTCCTCAAATGGCCACTTGAAACAGGCTCTCAAAGCCAGTCCGTCCCCACAGACCCCAGTGTTAAAATGCCCAACGTTACAGCAGAAATAAACATGTTACGGTTTTGGTGTTTTATGGCTACATGCTCTGCTCACTAAACCTGAATGGGGATGTTTTTTTTTTTTTGTAGCTCAGCCATTTAATATATATGAATCAGCAAAGTTACCAAAAATAGAGGTGTGGCCTCTTTGAGTGACAGTCATGTGACAGTCTGTGGCTCTTTGACTCTTTTTTTTTCTTCTTGTCATTGCAACAAGTTATTTGATGTTGTACAATTTATGATTAGCTTTAAAGTGCACACAACAAAAAATGTAAATGTACATTACAGTTAGCCTGATAATACCAAACAAACAACCATATGTTGAAATGTATTTAGAAATCTTAAAGGCTCTAAAGTTTGATACGATTGCCCCAGTTAATTAACATCTGGCAAACTAAATACACAATAAGACATTTGTTAACAGTGAAAATGATCATTTGATGTCCCTCAATAGAGCATTCTGTCATCAGCTTGTTTACTGTGGACTTAAATATCCACAGAAGCAGCATTTTTAGAGCATCTTATCTGCTTAATTGGTTGTATTTCCTGCAGAAGTAGGATGTCGGGGCGAGGCAGTTTAGATTGAACTGATGGGATTCCATTTTAGTGAGAGAAGACAGAGTTATTTGATTGTGGGAGTATTTTACTAACTGAAATCATTTACACTTCTCGTCTTGCAACCCAGACCGGAAAAATAAATAAATAAATAAAATTTTTTAAATGCAAATATGTGTGTTTTTGTGCAAATAAGAAACGTCTCCCAAACTTTAATGCCTCTTAAAGATCAGTTCTCCACTTTGTCTCCGTCGCTGGCTGCAGTTTTTCTCATCTAAATTCATCAGCTCCAAGTGTCAGCGGGCATTAGTTTAACGTTGTGACAAGGGACTGTGTGGCCTCATGCTTTGTGTTGATGATGGTAAACAGTGAGTCAGCACGGCCTCTCTGTGCTGTTGGTTTGTGTTTGAACACTTTGCACTCTGCTTTTGTCCCTGATGCTGTCAGAACAGCGCTCATGCTTGATATTCACATTTCTTACCTCTCTGCTGGGTACCATGGCAGTCCGCTGTGTCTCTGTTAAACCTGGATGCTGCTGTGCAGGTTTTGGGTGATTGTTCTCTTGCCATTTGGGGTAGTGTGGTTATTTGCTTTTTCTCTGAGAGTAAGAAGATTAATACCACTCTCATGTCTGCACACTAAATATTAAAATGTATGTAGCCAGTTGCTGGCAGTGGCGGAAAGCAAAAGAGTACCTTTTGTTCTATACGCTTGGAGATGTTCTATGCTGGAGAACACATATTAAGTAAAAATACTCAAACATTGCCATGACTGGGCATTACCACTCTGAAACTGCAGTGTGCTGATGCCATAGCGAGCCAGATTTCTTCCACTTTAGGCTAAATTGACCTCTACTGCATGCTCTCAGTAAATCTCAAACTTTAAATTGGTGTTTTAAAAAAAATAAAAAAACTCTTGTGGAACAAAATGAATGTAACAACATATGTCCTGCTTTCCAGGCTGTATGCTGTGTTTTGGCCAATCAGCCTTCTTTCGCTTCAACCACCCTGAGGAAGCCTTCAGGATGAAGAGCATGATGCCCCAGGGAGGAGGAGTCTCCACCGGGGACTACAGACTGTGCACAGGTACTGTACATACTCATATTTATGCTCATATTTTACTCGTGCATTTGTGTGCTCTGCTTTATTTTCTGTCTGTTGTAGCTCAGAAGTACTAACACTAACCTTAATGGCAGTTCTTCCTTCTTCGAAAACTTGGTGTTAATAAAAACACACTAGCCTTTTGTCCCATGAATAATAAGACTTTAAAAAAAAAAAAGCATTTCCCTTCTTGAAGTTCCAGTTTCAGCCTGGCCTGTGCGGATGAATGGGCCAGATTGTTACAGGCTGGTGGTGGAGGTGGAGCAGAGGGCACTTGTATTTTACAGGTGGATGTTTGTAGAGCAGTAAACTCCAGGCATTTTTCTCTTTTTATAACCTGGCTAGGGTGGAGGAAGTGTAGTAGCACAAGGCAGTCTGGGGAAGGAACAGCGTGTCACTTTGGCGATACACAACACTGTGCCAATGTATGTCTTTAAAAATAGTCTCGTAACCTGCAGGGCAACTTGATTTTCTTTCTATGGTTGTCTTTTTAATTATTTCTGGTTTAGAAGCAGGCATTCTGTTTTCTTTTGCATTGCTGCATGAGCTGTAAACCCGTCTGCAAAATAAATTGAGTCTTTTTCAGTTATGTTTCTATTCTGAAACAAGAAATATTACATTGAAAACAGGAACTTCTCAGCGTTTACAGCATAGAAAAGGTATTTTTATTTAAATGCACTCAGTAAAGGCGTGGATTGCCATTTATTTCTGTTTGTAGCTCAGTTACAAGACCCTTGTTGTCAGTATGAGCCTTTAAAATGCAGTACCCGTTGAACCCTGGAGCCTGAATGGTGCCCAGCTGGGACCTGGCGCTGGAGTTCACACTATGCATGTTTTATGAGCATCTCATTCCACTGCGTCTCTAGGCAAAGTTTTCAGCTGCTTGCATTTGTGTGTGCATGTGTGTATGTGTGTGTGTGTGTGTGTGTTCTAAGTGTTCCTCCTGGCAGACACAACTGTAAGTGTACCTTCGCTTGGCCAGCTCCACTACCAGAGAAGTGTCACAGCATCTCGTTATTTAGCTCCTTTCACTGTTGACGCTGCCTGCCACCAGTGGATAAGTATAGCACACAGGCGTGCTGGCTGCTGTGGACTTCCTGATCCACTAATGAAAGCCTTCCGTTGTTTAGAAACGTACCAATTATGCATTCCTGAGCTGTGTTCAGATGAAGACTGCTTATACCACTCCCATGATAAACTGGGCATATCTGTCATATCGGCTTGCAAAGACTTGAAAATGACACTTATCTCTGTGAATTCAAGGACCAGAGCTATTATGGAGGCCCAACCCAGATAAATCAAGGAATTATAAATTTCACAGTTTGTACAAATTAAATAATCGTACTAGTTTCTCGTATGCAGCCACACGTCAAGACTACATTCTGACAATGTACAATGTTATGGTCAGTTTATGATACAGGATTGTCTAAACCTCACTCTCCATTTGAAACACAGCTGAAACACGATGGCCAAGGGTTTCATCCTTTTGCTTTGTGCAACTCTCTAAGTGCTGGGGGATGCAATATACTTTAAATGTGGAGATGAGAGCCTCTCCTGCAAAGACATTCATAGTGCTGCACTCTGACATTCACATGAAATATGAAATATTTGTGGAACGATGAAGAATGATGAATAAAGTTCAAAGCCTGGCTCCTCTCTCAGCTCCACATGCCTGGCCAGCCACTGTGGGTGTGGATGCCAGAAAGTAACAGAAAATGTCAAACATTCTCATTCTGACACCTGAAAGGTGTGTGGGGGGGGGAGGGGCTTAGACCCTTATTTGAGAGGTAGATGAGAGTTAGTCTTCTAAATCTTACGGAACTTGTCATCTGGACAGTGCCATGGATGTGAAACTGATTTCAATGTCATCAGCCCATTAAATGGCCCTTTGTCAGTTCAAACCATTCTCATATGTATGGGCCAGTAGGAACCTCCACCTTGTAGTACTGAGCGTACTGAAAGGTGGAGGAGATTTCTTGCTTCTTGTTTGTTAGGATCCCCATTAGCACCAGCATAAGCATCGGCTATTCTTCCTGGGGTCCACACACATACGCACAATCTCACTTATACACACAAGAACCACAAACAAATCAAAACAAAACATAACAACTCGTCTCGTTAACTTTACAAAATAAGGAAGAGAAACAAATTGTCATTCAGTACACTATACATTAAATCATATACAGAATTATCGATACATCATTATTTATCTGGAACGCATAATTCTTCATCATAGACATATTATCAGAATGACCTTACACAACATCTTTATCAATCCAGTTCTTCAACCAACTGTATCCAAGAAAATAGGGCAAATTACGTTCTATGTTCTTTGCTCTCACAAGCATTACATTTTATTTTGAAACATCATTTTACTGGGCAGGTAAAATGGGCAGGTGGTCCCATATATATATGAGAATGATACGCATTGATAATTGGTCATTTAATGGCCTGATAACAGTCAAATCATTAGGGATGTATAAAGTGCAGTGGACACCACGGTCCATTAAAGTGCTCTCTAAAAACACAAAGAAATGGAAAGTGGCTACTTAGCGTCTTGGATTTTGAGCCCACAGAGATCAAGTGTTTCCCTGGTTTATAGTTGGCTTTACACACACATAAACAGAGGGAAAATTATTGATGCAGATCTTTGAGTCTTTTTGTTTTTCTATTAGACATGAAGACTTAAATTCTGGCCATACACCATGTATAAAACATGGACGTAGCCTTAAGATCTGAAAAGTGAGGCTCAGGCAGAGGTGCCTTCTTTGCAACAGCCAGCAGGGGGCGACCCCTGGTTGCAAAAAGAACTCAGTTTGTAAAGAAGTCAATCAGAAAATTACTCTACATCTCCCTTGATCTGTTACCTCAGTAAACATCTTACTAATGAGTTTATAGTCCCAATCACTAGTTTCAAGATTGTTTGAGTACAGCTTGGTGGTCATTTTGTAACTTATGGTCCCGTTTAGAGTAAAATAGACGATAAAGCGGAGTATATTTTAGGGCAGGACTACCTTGTGATTGACAGGCTGCTACTACATGACAGTATGTAGTGTCCTTGAGTTCTCAGTCAGATCCACCACTCGCTTATCACATCTGGTTTTAAAACAGGGAGGAGGATGACGGCCAAATCCCAAACTTGAAGCTTCATACCAGTAGTAAACAAACCAGTGGGTGATGTCACGGTGCCTTCATCCATATTTTATGTACAGTCTAGGTTTCGGGCCCTGCCCTAGTGCGGCATGACAACTTTGTACCTCTGTAACTGTTGTACCAATAAATAATTGTGTAATTTCGAGGCAGAAGATGTGACCTGAGAGGGACATTTAGATAGACGGGGTAATGCAGACAGTTCAGGCAGTAAGAGTCACCAGTGCCCGAACAAAGACCTGATTCCTCTCTGGCTTCTCACCCCCAAGGCTCCCATAAGCCCTTTTCAGACACGAGATATGTAACAGTGCTGCTTCATCAATCCGTTAAAGTAACTGCATCGTCACTGAATTTAATTCACTTTTATGTTAATGTTCCTCACAGCTTCATTCAGACAGAGCCACCACAGTGACGGAGAGAGCCACAGCACGCACCACACATTAGTCATACAGGCGGGATTAGACTGTGCACCAAGTGATTTATTATGCACTAATAAATAAAAGACTGACTCCAAATCTGCTGCATAAGAAATCATTTAACTATAGCTTATGAACTGTGACTGCGTGACAGCTCGCGTGTCTGGTGTGAAGAACAGTACACAGTGTGACTACTGTTAGATGTTGAGCGGTCTTGTAATGAAGACGTTTCTACTGCTATTGTTCCATGTGCATATATGTGCCCAGCTCTGTCACCTTTGGAGACGCTCATATGGATCCTGTTGCCGTTTGATGCTGCAGGTATTTATTAAACTCAGAGGAAAGACTCATAAAACAGCTGGAAGCAACAAAGTAAACTTCAGCTCCTGTTCATGTTTTGTCAAAACCTCGAGTACAATATCTTTTGGGTATCTTGTTAATTTGTTTTCATCCTAGTCAGGTTTTATTTTATGGACATTAGAGCTTGAAATAGATGTGTAATTGTAGAGCAAAGTGAATGATGATTTTGGCTGCAAACTGTCGCTTTCTGTCGTGTCTTTGGATCAGTATTTATATGAAATGTGTAAGAAGTCTTCCTCGAATCACTTTACACATTTAGAAACATGTTGTGATGTGATCTTGTGAGTGGCTGTCTGTTTATATGACAGCATGCAGTTCAGACTTGTGCCATGTTGGAACCGATACAGAAATGTTACTAGGTTCAGCCTTGTTAGACTGTCGGTCCAACTTTTATGGACATGTGACGAGGGGGCTCATGCAGACAGGAAGCTGAGGTGTCTGATTAACAACAAAAGAGTGCACATCTGAAAGGAGCTGGGGTTTAAACCTGGGTCTCTGCGGTGGTGAATGAATGTACTGCTTTGAAAAATCAGGAGGTAAACTCTACTTCTGTATTGTCTCTACCTTCATTCATTGTGCACTTGTTGTCATACATTTGTGCAAAAAGTGCTTTGCAAAGTGCTGCTGTGTCTCTGTGATGCCAGTCACATTCACCTGTCTGCTGTTCAGTTTTGGCAAGCTTTCAGTCAGCCATCAATGACGGTCCACTGCCCGGCTGTCTCCAGCCAGCCGTCTTTCAGCTACCTCCTCTCCACTGATCGGACGTTTCCTGTGCCTCCTGCCAGGCCAGCAGACGGCTTTGTGGGCCTGAGCTGCTCACTTAAAGTGGCCAGCGGCTGGAGTTACAGTGTCTTTTTTCAGACACTATTTATAAATCCTCCCAGTTCCAGTCTACTGTCTGCCATCTCTGCACCCTCCCTCCCTGCCTGGGTTTCCCCCTCCTGCACCCTCCCACCCACCCATCGGCCTTCTGAGTGTCAGCCTCGCTTTTCAATACCAGGCCTTTATCTCCCAGTGATTTGGCTGCTGTATCTATCATTGGCTGCTTTACAGTCTGCAAAGAGCAGCTCACACAGACAGGGCTGGGGGTTTGTGATGCAGCTGTGGTTGCAGTAAGGCACCACCACATGCTGAATCTCCACTGTGTTTTGTTTCTCATCATTATGAAATGACATCAAGTGCTCGTCAATAAAATTGGAGAGGACACTTTTGGATACCAAACAAAAACTCTTCTGGCTATTTAAAGGGATAAGCATATCTTATTTTCTGTTTCCAAAACCAGTTAAAACCCGCACGTCCATCCTGAGGGAAAACCTGTCCTTGTAGTCTTTCACCATGCTGGATCAATTAGGATTTGTGGTTCATGTTTTGTACGAAAAAGGCATCGCACACATGCAGCAATTATTTTTTATGCTGAGTAGAAACAATTGAATTTCAACTCACTCCCCCAAAGTTCTTTGATTTGATTAATTGAAATGTTCACATTTTATTTTTTCTCTCCTTTGAAGTTGTTCCTGTTCGGGGTCATGTGTTGCTTTGGGAAAGAAAACTGACAACAAGAAACATATCGGGGCTGAGAAATGTGTGTCTGCAGCAGAGGACGCTGCATTTTCAGGACTGTTGTTTAGTTGCTGGACCATATTTCTAAGGCCTTTGTTTTTCGCAATGGTGCCACCCTCTGAATTGGATTATTATGGGAATAATATCTGTTGAAGCGAGGACCCACATTTGTGGTCAAGATGGACAGCAATCATGGTGCAAACCCTAAATATGAATCAGCTTTTAATTGTCAACCATAAAGACAATTGTAATGCCTTCAGCTGGACAGCACAGTTCTAGATAGCTTGACAGAAGGGGCCTTTCTTGTCTTTTTCTAAACTTTCAAATATCTGTTTGAGCTCTGGTGCTTAGAAAGGCCATTGCATACGACTCCATTGTTATTTTACCTGATAATTACCTAATTATGCTAATTATACAATTTGCTTCACAGGCAACTCTTAGCAATGAAGCTTAATTGCAGGACAGAAAGTAACACTTGGGTTGAATTTACCTTTAAAACTGTAATTACCTTGACATAAGTATCTTTTAAGTGGAATAAATCTTTTAAACGACGATTACTTGGACAGTAAGTAGTATTTTGAGTTAAATTAGTCTTTCAAACTGTAAATCAATCGTTAGAAAGTACTATCTGGATGGAATAAAACTTTTAAAACTCTAAGTACTTGGACAGAAAATAATATTTTGACTAGAATACACCTTTAAAACTATAAATACTTGCACAAAATGTAGTATTTGGGTGTAATTTATGCACACTGTAGCTATCTTTCAATTCACTTTATAGGTTTGTCGAGAAAAACAAAGGTCCAACAACCGCGGTCCTGAAACTGCAGCCTCCTGTAGTGCAGACACAAAATATTGTTGTGACCTGCCATTGCCACCAGAGGACATTTTAATCATAGTCCAATATCAGTCCTTTTTTAAAAAAAAAAAAATCTCAAACCCTTACTTTTTTATGTTAGTAAAATGTCAGCACAGCGGCCTAGTTTGTTCTCCAGGTAGTCATTTGCTGATGCTTTTTCCCCTGTCACATCTAAAACTGACAAAATCTTCATTATAGAGACAAATAACAGTGACAAGCCATAAAAACCACTGCTGTGACTCTTTAAACAGCCTGTAAATCTCACTGTAGTCACTCCGGACAGGAAGCTGCGCGAAGTTAGCAGCAACAACGGAAGAAAGACACTTTTAGCTTCAAAATAAAGCACACAGAAAAAAATCTTATTTGAGGAGAAATGCCTGTTTAAGTGAGCTGCTCTGGAATACCATGTGTCACGCTTGAAATTATTTGAGCCCTAAAAAAATCTGCTAATGTCAATAATGGGTCGCTTTTCAGAACATTTCTGCTCAGACTGACTGGCTCTATACATTCCTATCACGGTGAAACAGACAGCATGTTATTCTACACTTGTTCTCAGCGGTGACACTTAAATAACATACCGTGTGTTTTGACGTTTACGAAGTCCGAGCTTTAATCTGAAGGTCGGGACCGGAGACGCCGCGTTAGATCCGCTGTAGCTTGACAGCAGCGGTTCGGTAGTGAGCAGCGGTGCCCGGCAGCACCCCAACCCCGGCTGAAACATCACGGCGGTGCTGAACCTCCATATCTGCCTCGGCGTGTGGAGCCAGACACGGCAGGGCTCCGTCACAGCCGCGGTGTTAGCGGTGTCCGGAGGATGTGGGCCTCATGTGTGTGTCATGTAGCAGGTGAACCGCTCTGAAACTGACCGGCTCGCAGTTGTGTTCCTTCATGTGAGTAAACCCTGCTGCTTACTGCCTGAGCTTTGGGCGAGAGAAGTGATACGAACCGGTCACACGCCAAACTGCATTAACAATCCGTCGGTTTCATGTTCATGTACCTATCTGGGAGGGAACACACATCGCAGGACAACATTACATACTTGAATCGATTCATTTGACTTCAATTATTCATTCAGCACACAGCCGATCAATACAAACGTCCTTTTCGGGAAAGACAATCTCCTATTTCTCTGGGTCACAATATCACAGTATGTTCTCATAAGGGGAGATTGCAGCTGAACCAAACGTGTGTTAATATTTCAGCAAGCGCATAATGACGATGGAATTAATGCCGAATTACAGTCATCGTCGCATGTAATAAAATATCCCGAGTCGTGTTGCATCTGACTCTTTGCTTTGCTGGCAAGTGCGCTAATATTAAATTGACAGATTTTCAAATGAAGTTCGGCATGGTGTAGTCGAGGCGCTAGTCTGTATCCCATGACATCATTGCATGGGCTTTCCCTCAGCAAACGGTTGCATTTATTTCTGTCACCCCACCCCCTGCACGTAGGAATCAAATCGGTTTGTTGTCTGTGGGAAACGGTGTGACATTGACATTTATGCACAGCCTGGCTGATACAGTGCATTAATGTGGCAGCCTGCACACCATAATGCTGCATGATTTGCATGAAAATGTATTCAGATGTAATTGTGGCCATGCTGTCAGGCTATTGTATGGCAGTGTTATTATAAGAGAGCAGGCAAAGCTGCTCCCATCTCAGCTGCACAAGCACAGCTAATGCATTATTTGTGAATCTTCCATATTTTAAAGCAGTTTTTTTCTAGTGGGACATCTCCCTCTAACATCATCTTCACAAGCAGATGCAATAGACTTTTCTATTTTCTTCTGTTGTTTTGTCTGTTTGTGTTATCATTTGCTCCATCTCCCAGTCGTTTCAAGATTTCTAACGTCATTACACCGCTGTTGGCTGGACGTGACAGCTCTATTCCTCTGCTGTCTTTTATCACCTCTCAGTGTTTGAACTCCCAATTATTCTCATGTTTCCATTTAAAATGACAACGAGTCAGTTTAAACAGATTTCATTTAACATTAATAAAACCCAATCTGTGCGCTGAGCCCTGCCTCAAGGCCACGCTGGTGACTCTCCCACGTGGCCGTGCGTTTCTGTTGTAATAATCTACTATGCTGACATTAGAGAGAGATGGTTAAGATTAGATTACCCGGCCTGTGTCCTACGCTGCTTTCGGGCATCACAGTAATTGGGTTATGTAGGCACATTTTCTCCTGATCCCTGTCCAAAGCACCGGGCTGTCTGTCTGTCTATCTGTTCATCTCCTCATCTGTGTCCTTCCCTCTTTCCTCACCACTAATCCTTCCTCTGCCCTCATGCTTACCTGTCTGCTACACTAGGGTGGAAAATTCGATGTTACTTTTGAACATGTCACATAACAGGGAAAGTTGTTAGGTGCTGAGGGACTCTTGCAACACATTTTCTAAATTGTCTGACACGGTGCATGAAGTGTTGGTATTCAGTGTGACTATGACGGGAGCCTGGATGCTTTAGTTATTTTTTGCACAGAAACACTAACTTAACCAGGAGGGAAAGAACACTGTGCAGTCATGAAACCACCCCAAAGTAGTTATGGAAAACCATGAAAAAGTCATTAAAGGTAATAGCGGGCACCGGCAAACTAATGCAATTTCACTAGACTTTACTGCCTGCTTTATCACCCTCATTACTACCTCTGTTGCTCAGGAGAATACAGGTAGGGTGAGGTCATCTAGCAGATTCGTGTTAGACCTTATTGCAGAGAGTAGGTAATCCACCCATAATGCAGTATATCACTCTCAGAGTTATTAAAGGTAGTTGTATTAAGAGTTCGTGGCAGTGATACAGACAGCTGTGAATCAGCTCTTTTTGTTGAGAAAAACTGTTGTGGAGGTGTGTTGCTAAGAATGTGAGTTAGCTCCTGCGATTGACTGGTGTATTTGCATTGTCAGGACCAATGTATTTATTGACCTCCCCATGTTGCATTGGTTTCTTCAGTGAATGAGGTGGCTGTTATTGTTGATGCATCCCTGATCTCAGTCTGAATGCAGCCTGACAACCTGCTACACTAAAAATACTCTCATTGTCTGACTTTTTATGTCAGTCTGGACTGAGTCCGGTCATACATGAACATGTTATATTTTGAACCTGTACCTGATGACTGTTCTTCTCTGTCTTCTCCCTGCTTAGACACAGAGAGTTTGGTCAATGGGAATCACCAAGCCAGTCCAGCCCAGTCTCCCCCAGCTCCTGGAGAGAGAGTCCAGTCTGAGCACAGTGCCATCGTCAGCTCCATTGAGAAGGATCTCCAGGAGATCATGGACTCATTAGTCATGGATGACCCACAGCCTTCTTCTTCAGAGGCAAAAAAGCCTCCCGGAGGCCAGTCCATCACCCACTCTCCGCTGTCACCCATGGTCAATGGAGGGGGCCGGTATCTGCTGTCGCCTCCTACTAGTCCAGGGGCCATGTCTGTGGGGTCCAGCTACGAGAACACATCCCCTCCTTTCTCCCCACTCTCCTCCCCCTCAGCGGCGAGCAGTGGGAGCTTTACCAGCCCGTCTCCTAGTGGAGGACCCCAGGACCAGAGTTCTTCTCTGCCGCCAGTGCCTGTACGCTCCTCTAGCTACAACTTCACCACCCAGCCTCCGCCTGTACCCCAGCCACGGACCATACTGCCTAACTTTAGCAGCAGTGGGGTGGGCCAGAAGGTTCAGGAAAGCCCCAGGCTGCCGAGGAAGGTCTTAACAGACACTCCTCCAAGTCCCAAGCCAAGCCGCAGAGGACTAGGCCAAGATGGGTCTGAGAGCCCTCGACAGACCCCCCTTCTGTCCTCCACTGAGTCTCTCAGTAGTAGAAACGTTGTGCCAAGTAGCCCCAGACTCACTCCCAAATTTCCTACCTGTCCATCACCTTCGCCCTCCAGTCCCAGGACCAAGACTACCACGGTGCTCCAGGAAAGGCCTGCCAGCCCCTTTAGAGAGCAGACCAGTCTAGCTGATCGCTCTCTTACTTCCAGCCCCTCTAGGCAACTTTCCCAACCCACCAGAGCCTTCCAGCCTCCACTGGACCCCATCGTCCACATCATCCAAGGATCGCCCCTCCAGCAGCATCCACGTTCCCTGCAGCCCCCTGAAAGCCCTCGCATGGCCAGGAGGAACATGGAGCTGAACGGGGGCAGTGGAGGGAGCAGTAGTATGCGAGAGCTCCCTCCTCTAAGTCCCTCTATGACTCGGAGAGGGGTCCCAGTTCTCCCAGGGGCACTACCTGGAACAATCCCCACATTGAGGACTCCAGACAGCCCCTCTGGTCTGGGCAAGCTTGTCCCAGAGAGTCCCAGGCTTCGTCGGAAGACTGGATCCACATCAGAGGAGCCGATGTGCAGCAGAGGGATCCGAGCCCGCAGTCCATCACCCACCTCCATGATGATGGAGGGCAGTGGTGGTGGTGCTGCAGGAGTACGGAAGGCGAGCTTTGGGAATTCCTTATCGCCTGCTTACAGTCTGGGCTCCCTGCCTGGCTCATCCCCTGTAGCCAGCCCCAGGACCCACAGGAAGATGTCCACAGGGAGACCCCACCCTGGAATGAGGGAGAGGAAGAACAGCATCACAGAGATCAGTGACAACGAGGACGAGCTGCTGGAGTACCACCGACGACAGAGAGAGGAGAGGCTTCGAGAGCAGGAGATGGAGAGACTGGTGAGTCAGGAGCACACGTCACCAGCAAAGTGTTGTTGTTCAGTGTTCATTCAGAAAGAACTCATTTAATTCACTTTATTGATGCACTTTCAACTTAAAGGTTAAAGTGCATTTGCTCAGAGTATCAGAGGGTTTGTACTGTTCTTCACAAGACTGGACGACTTTTACACTGAAGTTTTTTTCTACCTGGATGCCAATAATCTTAATCCTATTACAGCCTTTTCAGGTTCAGGCAGATTTTACAAGTCTGATATTATTTTTCCTCTTAAAATGATGAATCTTTATCCCTGACTACAGTTTCAGAATCAGCCTTGGAAGAGATTATTTTCTTTATCCTTCTGTTGAGGATTTTTTAACCACTTTTTTTTAAGTCTGCCCAATGTCGAAATGGCCATAAGAATTTTCTAGAAGACAAAACCTTTTAATTGCCTGCTTCTGTCAGGGAAGAATATTAAACTTACAGTGAGATAAAACTGAGGAAACCAGCACTGATCCTCATATTTGTTGACAAGCTGTCGTTTTTCTGATAAATGACTTAATGATTCATCGGCTGTCGCGGTTGCTGTCTTATTTATTTTCAATCAGCTAATCAGTCTATCAAATAATGGTTTCAGTGCTACTTGGGAGGGAGCATTGAAACTATTAGTCCTCCTCCATATCCTGAAATGCAGGACAGACGAAAGCAGTTGAGTCATCTGTATTTATATGGCCCACAGTCACAGATTTGTTTTAGAGGAGTCTGAACGACGCAATCCACTTGGTACTCGCTGGAGTGTAGGATGAAGGTTAATGCTAAGTGGTTTAATGCTGGCACTCACACGGGGCCTGCTGGGATCCAGCCAGTATTTACATCCATGGTGCCCTTCATCTGCACTAGGTGCCCTTGAACAAGGCACTGAACCCCCACAACAAATCCAGGGTTCCTGTGTATGTGAGGGGCCATTGATGGGTTCGACTAGGAAAAAAATACGAAGAGGAGACATTTTTAGTGATATGTTTCCATTGAGTGTATTGATCAAGAATTGCAGTAAATTCTTGGATGCAAACACTAAACATTGTCTGGTTTCGGAATATTTATATCAAAATATTTTTGACTTTTGGACAGCTGGTTGGACAAGATGAAACATTTAAGATAAGATATGCCTTTCTTTATCTCACAGTGGAGAAATTCACACTGTTGTCAGCAGCTGTACACACAGAGATACACACACACTAGAAAGAATAATGTACATATAAGAAATGGTGCAAACACAAGGATAAAAATACACATATAAAAGGAATAGTGCAAGCACAGAGTATAAAAATGAGGATCTATAGATGAAAGTCTTCAGCTTTTGGATGCTGCATTAGGTGTTTCTCATAGTGTCTTGATTTTATACACCAAGCATGTGATTGATCATTTGAGAAAGTTCAGATGAATCAACAATGAGTCTAGCTGTTAAACCTCTGAATCCCGAAACCCAATGTTTGAAAGGCATGTCTTCTTTAACCTCTTAAGACCTGGCATCCACACGCTTGAACATCATATTTTGGGTTATATTACCACAGTAGTTTAAAAAAAAAAGAAATGTTTTAAATTGTAATTATTTTTTTATTATTTTATTTTATTATTGTGATTCATTTTTAATTTTTATTTTGTATTTTTAAAAAATCTGTTTTTATTTAAAAATATTTTCATATATATCTTTTTAATATAGATTTTTATTGTCTATTTATTTTACTCTTTTTATTTTTTTGAATAAAAAATGCATATCAAACAAGAGCTTGGGTCTTAAGAGGTTAAATTGCTAAACCTACACCATTTCTCAGAGCCAGAAACTATTAAAACAGAATGAATCATTAGATTTTAAAATTCTAAAACAGTCTGTAGCACATCATGTGTGGCAGTTCCATCAGAAAAAACAGGAAAATATAAAATTGATATTGTAATTTTTTTTATGTCTCATTTGAAAATTTGCGGAATGTAAACTAGATGGAATAAAAAACCAAAAATTCTGAGCTTCTTAACACATGAGTGGCTCAATTGTGACTGATGTAATGTGACAAAATGTTTTTTTTGTGTGAACATTAGGCTGCACATATACAAAGCAGATAGAAAACAAGAGCTGAGAAAACAGGAGCAAAACAAAAAAACACCCAAAAACTGTTTAGGGTTCAAACGATACAACAAAGAGAATAAAGCGCTTTTCAACCCCTATTGAGAACAAAGCCTCCGTAGCAGTAGAAATTCAGTTCATCAGTAACCTGTTGCACATAAGCCATAGAATTTCAATTTATATGTTTTTTTCCCTTGATCTTCTTAAAATTAGTCTTTAAAAGGAAATAAAGGGAAAACAGTTGCAGAAGTAAGCATAGATACGGTTTTATATTTAGTTTGACCAAAGCTTCCCCGTGTGAAGCTGGAGCATTTTACTGAGGATCTTCAGGCATCGCAGAAAACTCCTCAAGCAAATTGATGAGTCCGATTATCAGTGGAAGAGTTGCAGCATCTCAGGATGTTGTAAATATTCTTGCAGTGTCTTGGTCTTACTCTAACCTGTGAAGGAAGTGAGCGTAATGATTGCAGTATCTCCCTGTTTGTTTGGAAAAGGAGGAGCAACCAGGCCCACAAACCGTCTTAGTGAACTGTCTGCGACTGTCGGCTGCCTAAACTGCTGCTGACATGCGGTCTCTGGGCGGCCAGATGAGCCCATAGCAACCGCATTGTTTGTTGTTTCCTAAACTGAACAGAAAGGGGGGCGAGGGAGCAGCGGGAGACATCTTGAACTTGTCTAGCAGCCTGAATGGAACTGCGGAGACAAAGTCCTTTTAAAAAGCCTTTATATGTGTTTGTGCCTGCGTGAGAAGACGTTTGTCCTCCCTGCTTGTAATTACAGAGTGGGTGTTTTTTAAAGCGGGAGACGGAGTGAAGGCAGCTCAGTTGGATGGATTGAGACGACATGCCCTCTGTTTCTGTGTGCCGGGTCATGTTCTGGTGCCTCCTATAGAGGCATGGCAGTAAAACACTGCGCTGGCAGCACCACATCCATACACTGACACTGTGTTTAAGACTAAACAGGGAGGTGGAACCTGTTAAATACTACAGAAGAGCCTGCAGGGCAGTTATTGAATAAAACTAATGTGTTTTCTTAGATGTAAGCAGTAGTTGGCACATTGGATTTGCTCTTTATTATAAATATAAAGAGCCAAAGTGAGACTGGTTTTGGTCAGTCATAACTTGCTGGAGTTAGGACACCCCAGTTTGTGACCTCACAACTCTGAACATTATTTGTGATATAGAGTCCCATTTAGGAGAAATGCAAAAATGTGAAATTTTTGCTTCAGCTGTGGGTCGTAAAGCAGTTTTTGTGCGCCAACAGATGTCTCCTCTCTGCCCAGAATAATGAAATGTTTGCTCAGAGTGAAACTAACATTTGAAAATGCTGGATTTAAAAATTGGCTCCATTCCTGGAAAACATTTTGTCATTCTGGGCAGATCCTAGACATCTGTGGGGTCAATGAAAATATCACTTGCGCTATAAAAAAAAAAAAAAAAATAAAAAGAATTGATTGAGTAACATACAGAGTGCTGAGGCTGGAGTCCAGTTGGAGATTAGTGAAGTGACGGGGAGAATGAATTTGACATATGTAAGGAAATGTATGCAAAGGGATGTCTGTGTACAGTTCACAAGAAGATGCTAAAAACTCATAACATGTAGTTAAGAAAATTAAGAAATGAAATAACATTTCTGTCAGTTGATTGAGTGAGGTGTCTGCTCCATGTTGACTGCTTGTCATTAGATAGCCTGTATAATGAGACTTTGAGAACACAAGTCTATGAAGGTTTTCTAACATCTCAACCTTAGCCTGTGTTTCAGAGGTAAGAACACAGATTCAAAACCACACTGGTGATTTAAACCACTACAAACGCCAGCCTTTCAGCGTACAGCTTTGGGAAATGATCTCTTTGCATACTAACGTCCCTGAAAGTGTCCGTCCCGTGACGAATGAACCAGTGGCCACGCGGATGTCTGTGTGCTGCACGAAGCACGGGATTGGTTGTTCAAATGTAAACAAATACAACGGCAGACAACAACAGCAATGATGAAAGCTGAGACCAGCGATTTCCTGAACACCACAACAGCTGCTGGCAGAGACAACAAGGTCGGCAATGAGAGAAATTCATTATCTATGTTGAATTAATCGCTAGTAGTCAAGGCTGATGTCTTTGTTGTCTTCCAGAGACTGGTCTTGCGAAATGTGTGTGATAGATCAGGGAGTGAACATGGTGACTGTGAGGCCCAATCAGAACGTGAGCATGGATGTCTGCGTCATAGTTTCAGAATGTCTCAGTTTCTGCCATAGACTGTATAAAAGATGGACGTAGCACCCGGCCCTGAAAAATGAATGAAACCTGCAGTATCACTACGTCCGCTGGCTCCAAATCGCCCTGGCTCCCATAGAAATGAATTGGAAAAGAAGTGATCACAGATCATGAAATACCGCATTCCTACAGCTCAGGATTTTTTTCTTATTAGTTTCCATAGTCAAATCCAGAACCTGGAGAGAACCCACGCTGCACAGGGAGAACATGGAGACTCCACACAGAAAGATCCAGGGTGTCCTCACCGGGACGCGAACCGGTGTCCTTCTAGCTGCGAGGCAACGGTTTGAACCAGCGAGCCGCCTTGCAGCCCAGGACTACTTCCACATATAGGGAAACGCACTTATGAACCACGTTACCTTCTTAAACCAGATAAGAGGCCGAGACCAGCAGCCAGCTACCGTAGCTCACCACAAAGACAGTAGAAATGTGACCAGACTTTCCAAGATGCCTGATTATTCCTTTAAAGGCAGTAACCTAAACCATACTTCCAATTAACATAAAGGAGCAACATTCATATGGATTCAATGAAGAATTTAGTTTCTCATGAGGGCGTGCAGCATTCTTTATGTGCTGTAACTACAAACTTTGATGTTTGCATGTCTTACCCCCGTGTCTTTGTTTCATGTCTCCACTT